TAAAAAATAAACACAAATCTACTGCTGTACTAATAGACAATCATGTTAACATCCTGTAATATAAATTACTAGTTGTTTCTATTTGTATAGTTCATTCACCGTCTTTATGTAGTTGAAATAAACCTGTATGTAATTTTTAACAGCTTTATTGAGATATAATTCACATACCATACAATTTACCCACTTAAAGTATACAATTCAGTGGTTTGTAGTATATTCACAGACTTGTGCAACCATTACCACAATCAATTTTAGAATATTTTCATCACTCCAAAAAAAGAAACCCTGTACCATTAGCAATCATTCCCCAATTCCCCTCAATCTCTCCAGAACTAGGTAACCTCTAATCTATTTTCTGTCTCTATGGAATTGCCTATTTTGGACATTTTATATAAATAAAATCTTATAATATGTGCCCTATGGGGCAGTTCTACTCTGTCCTATAGGATTGTTGTAAGTTGGAATTGATGGCAATGGGATGGGTTTTTCACTTAGTATAGTATTTTCAAGGTTCACTCATGTTGTAACATGTCAGTACTGCATTCCTTTTGATGGTCGACTAATAATCCATTGTATGGATATACCACATTTTATTTATCTATTAACTAATGGAAAATTTTTAGTTATCATGACTAATGTTGCTATGAACATTCATGTAGAAGTTTTTATGTAGACACGTTTTCATTTTTCTTGAGTATAGACCTAGGAGTGGAATTGCTAGGTCATATGTTAACTCTAAGTTTAATATTTGAGGAGTGTTGTATATAATTTTGATTCTGCTTTTTAAAGCTTAACGTTATAACATAGAGCATTTTTCCACACCATTAAAACTCTTTGTAAACATGAAGTTTCATGCATGATTTGGAACAATTTTAATGGGATCAATACCTGTACTGGATTAATTTAATTGCAAAAATGAAAAAGAAAAACTTTAAAAAGTTTTCTGATTGAGTAAATATCATATAGCAATATTTTTATGTATCTATAACTGAAAAGAAAGGTGTAAAATAAATATTTGTTTTATAAGTGTCGTGCAAACTTTAACTAAGGCTTTACTTATTCTTGCTTAATAAAGAAATTCTGACCTTTGCCAAGTAATAATTTATTGTACACTGAAAAAACTCAGACCTCTTAAATATAACTCAAATGATTTTCAGATAAAGTTACAAAACATTCTTTTGCTGTCCAAATTTTTGCTCACACATGTATATTGAAAATTCGCAGCCAAAAGGAATAAGAACTGATTCTAATTTTTATGTTGGAACTAAAAGTGTTGCCTTACTGATAATGATATTTAAAAAAAAGTTTGGGTCAAAGGAAAATGATAATCAAAAGGATCTTCCTAATAAACTAACCTTTAACTATAATTATATGCTAGGGGTTGTGCTGAGTGTTTTACATGATTATCGCATTCATTCATCACAGCAATCCATTAGGCAGGTACTATTTCCATATTATTCCCATTTTACAGGTAAGAAAACTGAATCACAGAGATGTTTAGTAACTTGCTGAAACTTGCAAGGTTAGTAAATGACAGAGCTGGAGTTCCAACTGAGGCCTCACTCCAGAGCCTCAACTCTTAACCTCTGGAAATCTTAGGTTAAAAGGTTATTTGTTCCTTCTACTTTCCCTACAAGGATCCCTGGTGGTGCAATGGTTAAATAGTTAATTGCTACCAAAAGGTTGCCAGTTTGAACCCAATCAATGGCTATGTGAAAGAAAGACATAGTGGTCTGCTCCTGTAAAGATTAAAGCCATGAAAACCACATGGACAGCTCTACTCTGTCACATGGGGTCACTATGAGTCAAAAATGACTCGATGGCCCCTAACAACAATAACCTTCCCTATCATACTGTGAGCTACTTGAGAGCAGAGAATAGATCTTAATCATTTTAGGATTGTTAAAACCTAATATAGAATCTGGCAAAAGGTAAATACTATATTAAATGTACAGCCTGCCAGTCTGCAATGATGCAGTATTTGTCAGTGCTCCACTATGAGCAGGATGGTGTCAATGGGTTCCAGCAGGAAACTGAACATACACACCTACCAACCACACACTCCACCTCAACAGGGGGATTGTCCAGGATACAGCAGAAAATCACTCATCATACCGAGAACCAAGAAAATCACAACTCGAATGAGAAAAGAAAATCAACAGACTCCAACATCAAGATGAATCAGCTGTTGGAATTACCTGTCAAGTATTTTAAAACAGTCATCATAAAAATGCTTCAATAAGTAATTACGAATGCTCTTGAAACAAATGATAAAATAGAAAACCTCAGCAAAGAAACTGAAGATATAATGAAAAGACCAAATGGGAATTATACAACTGAAAAATACAATAACCAAAATAAAAATCTTGGTGGTGGGCAAAATAGAGCGGAGATGAGAGAGAACAGAATCAGTGAACTTGAGGACATACCAACAGCATTTATCCAGTGTGAACAACAGAGAGAAAACAGACTGGAAAAGGAAGATGAAGAGTCTCAGAGGCCTGTGGAAGAAAAACGAAAGAGCAAAAATTTGTTATCACTGGAGTCCCAGAAAGCAGGGAGTGAGTGGGACTGAAAAAGTATTCAAGGAAGTAATGACTAAAAACTTTCTACCTACAGATTTAAGAAGCTGAGTAAACTTCTACTAGGATAAACTCAAAGAAATTTTGCCAAGATACATCATAATTAGACTTCTGAAAACTAAAGACAAAATAGAGAAAATCAATGAAAAAAGAACTGGTTCTTTGAAAAGATTAATAAAATGAACAAACATACAGCAAGACTGACAAAGAAAAGAGAGAGAAGACACAAGTTAACCATATTAGCAACGAAAACAGGTGCTATCACTACAGACCTTGCAGACATCAAAAGGACAATAAAGGAGTATTATGAACAATTTTACATTCGTAAATTAGACAACTTATATGAAATGGATCAATTCCTTAAAAACCACTAACTACCAAAATTCAACTGAAATGGACAGGATGAATAGTCTTATAAACATGAAAGGAACTGAATTTGTAATTAAAAAGCTCCCCAAAAAGATATCTCCAGTCCCACATGTTTTACTGAAGAATTACAGTAAACATTTATAGAATTAACACCAATTTTTATAGTTTTCCAGAAAATAGGAGTGAACACTTCTCAATTCATTTTAGGAGTGCAGTATTAATTACACTGATGCCAAAACCAGACAAAAACAATACAAAAAAAGAACACTACACACCAATATCTCTCATGAAGTTAGACACAAAACCCCTCCCAAAATATTAGCAAATCAATCCCAGCAATGTATAAAAAGAATCAGATACCATGACCAAGCAGAATTTATTGCAGGTACGCAAGGCTAGTTCAACTTTTGAAAATCAATCAATGTTAAACCACCAGACTAAAGAAGAAAAATCACATGAACATATCAATTGGTTCAGAAAAAAACATTTGACAAAATCCAACATCCATTTAGGATAAAAACTCTCCAGCAAACTAGGAACAGAAGGGAGCTTTCTCAACTTGATAAAGAATATCTATGAAAAAAACTACAGGTTACATCATAATTGGTGAAAGACTGAACGTTTTCCTCCTAATATCAGGAACAAGGAAAGGATATCTGCTAACACCATCTTATCCAAGAGTACTACAAATACTAGCCATTGCAATAAGGAAGAAAAAGAAATAAAAGGCATACAGATTGGAAAGAAAGTAAATGAGACAGATCTCACGGTTTCAAACCGGTTCCAAAAGAAATTTCAAAAAGTCTAGTAATTTTTGACCAACAGTACCATCACTGTAATAAACGTAGCTTCTGGGGTATTTAAAGTACAATATTTATATGCCTAAGTTATAGTATATTTGCTTAAAACCAACTCAAGCTTATAGTCCTATCCCACATGCATTTGCTTTTAAATTTTATAGGGTTCCCTATGCTTTCCTTACACTTTTGATTAAGTGCTCAGCTGCTAATCAAAAAGTTGATCGTTTGAACGCTCCCAGCGGCTCCCAGGAGAAAAGACCTGCCCATGTGCTCCCATAAAGATTACAGCCCAGAAAACCCTATAAGGTAGTTCTACTCTGTCATATTGGGTCACTATGAGTCAGAATCAACTCAATTGAACACAATAACAACAACATATACTTTCCAATTGTATGTTATTTTCTGGCTGGTATTCTTGGAATATATCGTAGTCAGCATAATTTACAAATTTCTGTATAAATTTATTTTTCTCACTTGGCCTCTCTCTCCATATGAAATCAAAAAGGTGCAGGTTAGGTTCTGGGATGATTTTAGTGGGAGAACTTAAAGAAGGATTAGGGGAAATGATGATGATGACAATGATAATCACCACAATTACAGCTAACCCATACAATTACTTGCCATGTTCCAGGCATTGTTCTAAGCACTTTTATATCTTGACTCATTCAATCCTCCTAACCAGCCTATTGTTGTCGGCTGCTGTAAAGCTGGCCCCCAGCTCACGGTGAACCCATGTGCAGCAGGATTGGACCATTGTGATCCATACAGTTTTCACTGGCTTTTCGGAAGTAAATCCCCAGGCCTTTCTGACTAGTATGTCTTAGTCTGGAAACTCCACTGAAACCTGTTCAGCATCAGAGCAACATGCAAGACTGCACTGACAGACAAGTAGTGGCTGCGCTTGAAAAGCACTGGCCAGGAATTGAATGCAGCTCTCCCACATAGAAAGCGAGAATTCTACCATGAACTACTACTGCTTTCAGGTAGGTACTATTATCCTCACTTTACAGATGACAAAACTAAGGAAGAGTGAGGTTAAGTAACAAACCCAAGGTTAAAATCTAATAAGTAACAGAGCCAGAATTTGAGCCCAGGCAGTGTTACTCCAGAGTCCATGCTCTAAAGTCTATGCTATGTAAGCTCTGAATGACTATTTTGGAACAAGATATTAAATATTTTTATTAAAAAAAAAAAAAAGATTTGAAACTAGAAAAACAGATTGCAAAATGAAGTAGTATAAAATATGTACCTAGAATATGTACCTGCTCCTGCTTGTATAAGAGTTGGCATAACAGCTATGAATAATCCAAGTTGTACATCTTGCATCACTAGCATGCCAAGCAGCACGGTGCTGTAGTCAATGTCACCTGTTTTGGGGAAAAAAAAAGTTATTAAAAACATAGGTTTAAAGTATCATAAATCAAAATACAATCATTCTGCATACTTCTAAAATAATTCAAATAATATTTCAAATAAGAACATAAACTTTATATAATCTCTTTGAGAGCAACTATTGAAGCATTTGAAAGTTGAAAACTTTTTGTAAAGAATGCCCAGAATATTTCACTACCATGACCAGATAATGATACCAATTTCATTCTAAGTCCCCCAAACACATGAAGCTTTCATTTCTAGTATTCATTTTTCCCCCTAAGCTACTCAAGAGAGAGCTGATCTAGTTCTTTTCTGGTCACAACTTTCTATGTTCCAAGTGCACTGGGCAGAGTCTGGCTGACACTAGTAATTTTCTCACAAACCCACCATCACTGCCACACTGAATAACCCTATCCTATAAGACACACACAGACTTGGTAGAGAAATATTGTCTGATTAGACAGATAGGACAGCAATAACCATGGCATAGTTAAAGGGACTAAACAACTCCTCTAGAAAGAAGAAAGGAAAATGATATATTTTGCATGAATTCAGTACACAAGCCTGCAAATGTGTCCATTTTCAACAAACAGTTCTGGCTTTGGATCCTATATATATATGCTTCTAAAAAAAATCGTCATTTTCCCCCTAAAACAAGCTGATGTTTTTCTTTTAAAACAGCTAGTGATATTAACAGATTTTAAAAGATCAAGCTGATAGAGTAAGCTTATATAAAATAAATTCTTAAAAAAGAACACAACCAACCAAACCAAAAACACCTTCACTGCCAGCAAAAATCTCACTTTGGTTTGATGTTCCAGTAATTCCTTTAGAAGCATTATTTTATTTATTGTATAAATGAAATTTTTGGTGAAGATAATATCTTGGCTTAGAACTTTCAAACATTCCAAATGGGTGATCCCATTAGGTTGTTGTGGAGCTTTGCATCCTGGAAGGTTATATGATTCAATAGATCGTTGTTAGGTGTCATTGTGTCGGTTCCAACTCATAGTGACCCTATGCACACCAGAACGAAACACTGCCCAGTCCTGCACCATCCTTACAATTGTTGCTATGTTTGAGTCCACTGTTGCATCTTTTCTGATTTTAAACTACACAGTGTTCCTTGTTCTGTTCGAATGACTGCCTCCTGATCTATATGCAGGTTCCACATGAGCACAATTAAGTGTTCTGGAATTCCCATTCTTCACAATGTTATCCATAATTTGTTATCATTCACACAGTCGAATGCCTTTGCATAGTCAATAAAACATAGGTAAACATCTTTCTGGTATTCTCTACTCTCAGCCAAGATCCATCTGACATCAGCAATGATATCCCTGGTTCCACATCCTCTTCTGAATCCAGCTTGAATTTGTGGCAGTTCACTGTCAATGTACTGCTGCAACCGTTTTTGAATTATCTTCTGCAAAATTCAATAGATAGTGATGAATAATTCCCTTACAACAAATACTAAATGTGTAGGACACTTGAAAAATCTATTCTTTGTCAACACCACAACATCTTGATGGGTTCATGATCACTGTAAATCTCTTGATCTTGCAAAATTTGCTATAACATAAGCTTGCAATCACATTGTGACACCTCTTCCCCTTTCCTCAGACAAGATTAATGTATTTCAAACCTGCAACTACTATTACTGTGCCTCTTCTTTATTTAAAGAGTCCCTGGGTAGTGCGAATGGTTAATCTTCTCACTGCTAAGCAAAAGGTTAGTGTTTGAAGTTCACCCAGAAGTACATCAGAAGAAAGGCCTGGTGATTTAGTTCTGAAAAATCAGACACTGAAAATCCTATGGAACACAGTTCTACTCTGACACACATGGAATCACTTCACGTTTCTTTTTATAAAATTCTTTTAAAAAGAACCGGCAACTTTTTTTATAAAATTTATTTAAAGGAAACATAAAATCCCTAATTACACATCATTTTTTTAAAAACAGTCTTTGATGATATACTGTCAGCATTTTGTAAATGTTTTAAAAAATTTTTATTTTCCTTTGCACCTGGATCAGAGTCAACTGGCTTAAATCCAATGGACAGTCCATTATTAACCACTATTCTCTATGAGAATAGAGACCATGTCTTCTTCACTGATGTCCCTAGTACAAAGCACAGTGCTTGTGCATATAAATGCTCAATAAACATTCATTCATGAGGGAATTCAACTGAGGCTAGAGAAGAAAGACAAATGCTTATAGAGATAAACACAATGTTTAAACAGTAAAATCAATACAAAGATAAAATACCAAAATTTAAAAAATTAGTCACCACTTGCAACATTTTTCATCTCTGCATTTTGCACTAAGTTTAACTTTTATGATTATCACCATTATAAGCATTTAAAATTTTCCTTCTTTCCATTAAATTCTTCAAAATTTATAGAAACTAAAGAATTTAACAGATACCAACATACCACTCCTGAATTTTAATAAATCTTAAAAGTTTCTTTTGTGTGTGTGTGGTAAAATATATATAACATTTGCCAACTCAACAATTTTTACATGTACAATTCAGCAACATTGGTTACATTCACTGTGTTCTACAACCATTACCACTATCCCTTTCCATATTATTACACCATCATTTTACAAGCTCAGCGCCCCCTAAACAATGACTAGTCCTTTCCCTCTCCCTCTCACCCCTGGTAACCACTAATAAACTTTGGTCTTTATACATTTGCCTATTTCATATAAGTGGGATCATACAATACTCGTCCTTTTGTGACTGACTTATTTCACTCAGCATAATGTTTTCAAGGTTTATTGATGTTGTCGCATGTTGTTAGGACTTCTCTTTACAACTAAGTATTATTTCATTGTACATATGTACCATTCATCTGCTGACGGACATTTAGGTTGTTTCCACCTTTTGGCCAGTGTGAATAGTGCTGCAACAAACACTGGTGTGCAAGTTTCTCTTTGCATTTGAATCTTAAATTTTTGACATATTCGCTTAAGATTTCAAAAAAGAAATAAAATATTATAGATACCAGCAAAAAAACCCTAAAAACTAATTGTTTCTGGATCCCACTCTCCTCCTGCCCTACCCTCTAATCATCTTATTTTTAATGTTTATTATTCCCTTGAATCCATCACTCGTCTGTCAGTTTGTCGTACTGTGGTGGTTTGCATGCTGCTGTGATGCTGGAAGCTATGCCATGGATACTTCAAACACCAGCAGGGTCACTGTTGGTAGACAGGTTTCAGCGAAGCTTCCAGACTAAGACAAACTAGGAAGAAGGATCTGATGGACAACTTCTGAAAAAAACCAGCCAGTGAAAACTACGAATAGCAGCAGAACACTGTCTGATAAACAATGTTGGAAGATAAGCCCCTCAGGTTGGAAGGCGCTCAAAAGATGACTGGGAAAGAGTTGCCTCCTCAAAGTACAGTCGACCTTAATGACATGGATGGAGCAAATCTTTTGGGACCTTAATTTGCCAATGTAAGATGACTCAAAATGAGAAGAAACAACTGTAAACAATCTGTTAATAATCGGGACATGTAATATACGAAGCATAAATCTATAAAAACTAGAAGTCATCAAAAATGAAACTGAACACATAAAGATTGATATCCTAGGCAGTGGTGAGCTGAAATGGACTGGTATTGGTCATTCTGAATTAGACAATCATATGGTCTACTATGCTGGGAATGACAAATTGAAGAGGAATGGTGTCGCATTCATCGTCAAAAAGAACATTTCAAGATCTATCCCAGAGTACAACACTGTCGGTGATACAATAATATCCATATGCCTACAAGGAATACCACTTAATAACAGCTACTTTCCAAATTTACACACCAACCACTAATGCCAAAGATGAGGAAGTTGAAGATTTTTTACTAACTTCTGCAGTCTGAAATTGATCAAACATGCAATCAAGATGCATTGATAATTATTGATGATTGGAACGCAAAAGTTGGAAACAAAGAAGAAGGATCAGTAGTTGGAAAATACGGCCATGGTGATAGAAACGATGCCAGAGACTGCATGATAGAATTTCGCAAGACTAACAACTTCTTCATTGCAATATCTTCTTGCAGCAACATAAATGGTGACTATACAGGTAGACCTTGCGAGATGGAATACACAGGAATCAAATTGACTACATCTGTGGAAAGAGACAATGCAGAAGCTCAGTTATCATTAGTCAGAACAAGGCCAGGGGCCTACTGTGGGACAGATCATCAATTTGCCCATATGCAAGTTCAAGATTAAACTAAAGAAAATTAAAACAAGTTCAGGAGAGCCAAAATATGACCTTCAGTATATTCCACCTGAATTTAGAGACCATCTCAAAAATAGATTTGATGCATTGAACATTAATGATTGAAGACCAGACGAGATGTGGAATGACATCAAGGACATTATACATGAAGAAAGCAAAATATCATTTAAAAAGACAGGAAAGAAAGAGACCAAAATGGATGTCAGAAGAGACTCTGAAACTTGCTCTTGAACATAGAAGAGCAAAAGCAAATGGAAGAAATGATGAAGTAAAAGAGCTGAATAGAAGATATCAAAGGGTTGTTTGAGAAGACAAAGCAAAGTATCATAATGAAAAGTGCAAAGACCAGGAGTTAGAAGACCAAAAGGGAAGAACATGTTCGGCATTTTTCATGCTGAAAAAACTGTAGAAAACATTCAAGCCTCGAGTTGCAATAGTGAAGGATTCTATGGGCAAGATACTGAACGACACAGGAAGCATCAAAAGAAAATAGAAGGAATAGACAGTTGCTGTACCAAAAACAACTAGTTCAACCATTTCAGGAGATAGCATATGATCAAGAACCGATGGTACTGAAGGAAGAAGTCCAAGCTGCAATGAAGGCACTGGCGAAAAACAAGCCTCCGGTAACTGATGGAATACCAATTGAGATGTTTCAACAAACAGATGAAACACTCGAAGTGATCACTCATCTATGCCAAGAAATTTGGAAGACAGCTATGTGGCCAACTGAAAGGAAAGGATTCCTATTTGTGCCCACCCCAAAGAAAGGAGATACAACAGAATGTAGAAATTATCGAACAATATCATTAATATCACACAAGTAAAATTTTGCTGAAGATCATTCAAAAACGGTTACAGCAGCATGTTGACAAGGATATGTCAGAAATTCAAGCTGGATTCAGAAGAGGACGTGGAACGAGGGACAACACTATTGATGTTAGATGAACCTTACCTGAAAGCAAAACATACCAGAAAGATGTTTACCTGTGTTTTATTGACTATGCAAAGGCACTCGACTGTGTGGATCATAACAAATTATGGATAACACTGATAAGAATGGGAATTCCAGAACATTTAATTGTGCTCATGTGGAAACTGTACGTAGACCAAGAGGCAGTGATACAAACAGAACAAGGGGATACTGTGTTGTTTAAAGTCAGGAAAGGTGTGTGTCAGGGTTGTATCCTTTCACCATACTTAATCTGTGTGCTGAGCAAATAATCCTAGAAGCTGGAATATATGAAGAAGAATGTGGCATCAGGAATGGAGGAAGACTCATTAACAATCTGCATTATGCAGATAACACAACCTTGCTTGCTGAAAGTGAAGAGGACTTGAAGCATTTATTGATGAAGATCAAAGACCACTGCCTTCAGTATGGATTACACCTCAACACAAAGAAAACAAAAATCCACATAACTGGACCAATAAGCAACATCGTAATAAACGGAGAAAATACTGAAGCTGTCAAGGATTTCATTTTACTCGGATCCACAATCAATGTCCATGGAAGCAGCAGTCAAGAAATCAAACAAGGTATTACACTGGTCAAATCTGCAAAAATCTCACTTTGGTTAGATGTTCCAGTAATCCCCTTAGAAGGATTACCTTTTGTATAAAATGAAATTTTTGGTGATGATAATATCTTGGCTTAGAACTTTAAGACATTCTAAATGGGTGATCATATTAGGCTGTTGTGGCAGCTTTGCATCTTGGATGTTTGTATGATTCAATAGACTGTTGTTGTTGGGTGCCACTTCTAGTCAATTCTGACTCATAGCGACACTATGTACAACAGAATGAAACACTGCCCAGTCCTGTGCCATCCTCACAATCATTGCTATGTTTGAGCCTATGGTTGTAGCCACTGTGTCAATCCATCTCATTGAGGGGCTTCCTCTTTTTCGCTGACCCTTACCTTACCAAGCATGATGTCCGTCTCCAGAGACTGGTCCCTCCTGATCACGTGTCCAAAGTATGTGAGAAGAAGTCTCGCCATCCTCGCTTCTAATGAGCACTCTGGCTGTACTTCTTCCATGACAGACTTGGTTGTTCTTCTGGCAGTCAATTCAATATTCTTCGTCAACACTCAGTCTATTCTCTGTGTTTCTTAAGTGTTGCTTCCCATTTCTTCTGTCTGTGCTGTGTTGTCTCTGCGTCTAATCTAGACTTTCGCCTAGCTGTTACTTTTAATTCAAATACTATTTAGTTTCTTAAACTATTTTTTATTATGGTAAATATATATATAACAAAACATTTGCCATTTCAATATTTTTTACATGCACAATTCAGTGACATTAATTATATTCATCCTGCTGTGCAATCATCATTACTATGCATTTCCAAATTCCTTCATCATCTTAAACAGAAATTCAGTGCCCTCTAAGCAATGACTCTTCTCCTTCTTTCTCTCACTCATGGTAACCACTAATAAATTATGGTCTCTATACAGTTGCCTATAGAGTCACTGTGAATTGGAATTGACTGGACAGCAATGGGTTTTTTTGGTATACGCTTGCCAATTCTAGATATTTCATTTAAGTGGGAGCAAAAAGTTGTCGTTTTGTGACTGACATACTTCACTTAGCATAATGTTCTCAGGGTTCATCCATGTTTTAGCATGTATCAGGACTTCATTTCTCATTACAGCTGAGTGATATTCCATTGTATGTATGTTGAATCATATGTGCCACAAATTTTGTTTATCCATTCTCTGTTGATGGACATTCAGGTTGTTTCTATCTTCTGGCTATTGTGAATAGCGCTGCAATGTCCATGATTTCTAATGTTATTTTTTCATATTTATCTGTTCTTATTTCATTTTTACCTGGTTTTATTTCATAATTTCCTCTTTTTTTAAATAGATGTGATTCTGTCATTTATGTTTGAGTATTCGAAACATGCTGACTTTGAAGTCTTTATCAGGCTTTTCCATAAATGCGAGGAATTCATATTCTGATTGCTGAGTTTACACATCTTTCATTCCTAGCAACAGGTTCATTCACAGGTGTTGGCATTTTGGTATAATGGTCTTTAAATTAGAAGTTATTATTTTTTGGCTTCGATACAGGTCATCCCTTCATTCCTCTCTGCCCAATATGTGTGAAGTTGCCTCCACTTGGCCCTTTGAGCCCTCAGTCCATATTCAGATATTATCATAGGGTTCAGGGCTTCAGCCCCATAGTGATACTTGGACTATTCTAAATGAGGTCACTAAGGCACCAGGAAGCCAGTTCAGTTACTGGTACGGAGGCACTACCTATGTCTAATCTAGATTAGACACAGATTCAACATAAGCAGCAAATTAAAAAAAAAAATTTTTTTTTTTTTCAGTTTCTTTTCACCAGAGGGGAAGCCCCAGTTCAGCCCCAGGCTTCCAGCAGTGAGCTTGGCTCTATTTGGTTCCTTATGTGATCATAGGAACCCAACTCCTACTTCTAGTCATGTAATACACCAGGTCCATGATCTCAGCTCTGCTCACTGCTTTGCATTTCTTTTCTGCTTATGGCATAGAACAACGTCAGTTGTTTTTTTTTTTTTTTAATTATTGATGTAATTAAATGAAGTTTACATTTCAAGTTAGTCTCCCATACAGAATTTTTTTTTAACATACATTGTTATAAGACCCCAACTGCTCACCCCATTCTG